TGTTTCAGTTATTTTACATTTTAAAATAACGTCAAGGGGATTTGATGAGAACAATGTGAAATGTTAGGTGGATTTAGTGAGATACCCCATAGTTAAAAGTGATTTTCTGAGATATCCATCATAGTTGAGGTGTTCTTTTTCTAAAATTAACTCCAAATTTATAAATACAAAATTATACATGCATTAAATTATATTTGAATGTGATACAATAGTGCTCCTCTTAGAATATTATTTTGATGAATGGTCAATTCTTAATGGAAAACGTATAACACGTACAAATCTATAAACTTTAAAACTTTCTTATAATAAAATATTCTCTATGATCCAAATAAATAAATAAATAATTTACAAAAATTATCTAAAATATTATATCGAATCCTCCCTATTTTAGCTATTTTTTTCTAATAATTAGATTGAAATTCTAATTGGTTCTTAAGATTATTATAGGAATAAATATTTGAATTTTTAAGATTATTTTATGAATGTTATAAAAACCTCATATACTTTTTGAATTAAGTTAAAATTCTAATGCAAGCATCACAAGATTGAGATTTAAGTGTAAGATCGTTTTAGATTAAATCAATATGTGAAGGCCTTATATCTTATCTAATTGTAATGTTTTATGTGATTGCTTCATGTTGCAGGGATTAATTCAATGTACTCTCTAGTTTAAATTAAATCTCAAAAGTTTTTTATAATTAAATATCAACGTAAGATGACCTTGCCTACTAGTAAAATCTCCATTGTTCATCTCTTCTAGTGTTGTGGCACAAGGAGCACTGACTTTTTTATATCCCTTTTTTATTTTTAATTATTATAAAAAAGATGAATACTACAAAAGAGCGTTTAATAGTAAACTATCTAAATTTGAATTTGAAATTATGAAATAAAATTTAATACTACAAAAGAGCGTTTAATAGTAAACTATCTAAATTTGAATTTGAAATTATGAAATAAAATTTATCCACATGCTCATTTGGCAAGTTGATATTTTCTTTCTCTTTCTATCTTTGAATATTATAAATAAATAGGAATATTATAAATGAGAGGTTGTTGATTAAACTATCTAATTTTAAAATTAAAATTTTAAAATTTAAATTTTAAAATAAAAGTCATTCATTCGGTTATTTTGAATTTCTTTTAAGGGGCTGTTTGGTTCGTTTCCTTGATATAGGGAAATGCAATTCCATGTAAAGAAACATAAGTTTTGAGTTTTCCAAACTTTTCCAAGAAATAGATTGTTTTGTTTTGAGTTTTCCAAACTTTTCCAAGAAATAGATTGTTTTGTTTTGGTTCGCACATAAAAAATGGTGGGAAACCAATGTATTAGATTGTTTTGTTTTGGTTCGCACATAAAAAATGGTGGGAAACCAATGTATTTATTTTTCTTATGTTTGATTCGCATAGAAAAAAAAGGAAAACTTTTGTAAACAAAGCAGAGAAGGAAAAAAATCTGACGTGACAAAGTTTTCATCAATTTCACTCGGTTGGGGAAGGAAATCGGAGAGGGAAAAAAATCTGAGTTGGCGGCGATTTCAGCAGAGTTTTCCCTCTTCCATCCGAGCGAACCAAAGCGGCACAAAGAAATGGACGGAAACAAAAAAACTGACGTGGATGGCTAAAAATCTGACGTGGAGGGGTTTTCTGAGTTTTCCACCCCTTATAATAGCGAACCAAACAGCCCCTAAGTTTCAAACTATTTAACGAAAAAGCTCCAACTCAGATTATGTAATTTTTAATAATCCATATGCTACATTTATCAAAATAATAATAATAATAACACATGCTATAAACCATTGATGTAAACCATTTGTATGCTCATATACATAAAAAATAAAAAATAGAGTATATCTAAAAATAGAAATGAAGTAGTAGCAATTCAAAAAAATTATGTTGAATTCAATTTTGAAAGCACATGGATATATATTACTAAAACTTGTAGAGATTAGACAAATTAGATATAAAAAAAATCAACTCCTAGCCTTCGAAGCTAATTATGCAAGTTCATTTCTCGCTACGGTCTCCATATTACTTATTTTACATGTAACACTCATCCATGCGAGCATGAGTAAAATACTTGTATCATACAAGTAAAAGCTATAAGTAGAAAATTAAAATAAGGTATTTTCTTATGGAAGTAATTTTCCTATTCACATCTTGCTTTACATTCAGTTACCTATAACCCAACACGCGCTTAATGGATCAAGCAAGAGGAATTAGGGTGGTCCAATCAACCCTGTATTAAATCTCATTATACATCTTCTGAATTACAAATAAATACCATAAAGTTTTTCGTTATGACAATTAAATACCGTAAGTTGAATTTGGTACGTTAAAATACCATAAAGTTTTTAAAATTTACACGTTACTACCATCGATCATGCAAATGTAAAAATTCTTGCCCGAATGTTTCTCTATAATACTTACATACTAGTTTGAGAGTTTTTAACTAATACTATTCGTCAAAATTGCCACTGAATGAATCATTCTTTTTCAAAATTATCTTAATTCCACTTTAAAATAAAGTTGTGGTATTTTTAATGAAAATTTTAACAAATAATAATGGTTAGAAAGCTCTAAAATTAGTATGTAAATATCATAGAGAAACATTTGGTTGAACATTTTCACATTTGCATGATCGATTGTAGTTACGAACAAATTTTGGAAGCTTAATGGTATTTTTCTCATATCAAAATGCAACTTTTGGCATTTAATTGTTAAAATGAGAAACACTATGGTATTTATGTGCAATTTAGCCAAAAACCCATGGGTGATCCTTACTGTAACCAGCTTATAAGTCAAAAAGGAGTTAGCAAAACATGTAGAAATAAACTTAATAAACTTGCAACCCCACAGTGTTAGTCAGCTCCCCCTTTGGGAATGATGCCATTCATCTTGATGTTTCTACTATCGGCGGGCCCCCGCGAGCCAAATAGCAAAACCCTTCTACTATTGCGATTATTGTCAGATATCATATAGATAGTAATCTATTAAGTTTTTTTTTAGTGAGTTTGGTCCTCCGTTCGCACCCATTGCCCGTGAGGCGCTAGCAGTTCTTCGTGCTCTTCAAGTTGTGAAATCTGGATTGAAGGAATATTCCGTTTAGAATATGACTCCTTTAAGTCCAATACACATGCTCCACGGTGTTGTGCGAATCCCACGTGCTTTGATTCAGTTGATCGGTAATTGTTGGCTTTTGTTCAAAGAATTTACAATCATTTCGGTTCAAAATATTATATAGAAGATTCAATAATGATTCTGTGCATGTGCTTTATCAATTTGCTCTCAAATATGAA